TTGAGGTTCGCTATTTTTATTTCATCTTTTGTACTTGCATTATGAGAGGAATATATCAAATTAAGTACAACAAAGAAAAAAACATGGAAGAATTCGAATTGTGGTTTCTCAGATACGAGAAAGGGATGCCTGGAATACGAGGAGATATCATATCTCACTCTCTGGTTGCCGTGAAATGACCCTCCATCTTTCACGGTCGCGAGTTACCGTTGCACATTCTGCTATATCAAGGCCAGTCCATGTTTGTATGTTGTCCATCCATGGTACTCTTTGTCTTCTCCAGTCTCTCCTTCCCCACAATCTTCCTTCAAGCATTTCTTTCACAATGATCTTGTGTCGTTTAACGTGGCTAAAGTATAGTGTTTTTCTACATTTTATTTTATTCAGAAATCATAAAGACACACAACTGTAAAGTATATTCATAGAGCTGACTGACACTTATAACGAACAAAAGCTCAAAAAGGCATCGCTCGTTTAGGAGGAAAGAACATTAACTATACAAGGCAAATCTGCTACTGTTGTCATTTCGAAAAGGACTGAGTCTAGTGTAGATACTAGCTTATCCGACCGATGGTGGCGCAACACAGTTGGAGACGTCGACGTTGAAGACATCTGGTGAGGGGAGTCCGGCTGTCACGTCGAAAAAGAGGGAGACGTCATCCAGTCCTGCAGCAACGCTCTTGACCCGGGTCAGGACAGGGAAACATCCGTTGGTGGCTGTGGCGACTGTTATGTCCACGCCATTTTCCTGTAAGGGACAGAGGAACATCAAGCACAGTCAGTGGAGACCAACCTGCTTTCTTTTCACTTGTCTTCCAAATTCTAAGCCTTTCGAAGGGCAGAGATAGCCCCCTCCCCACCCCCTTTTCTCCCATCTCCCCCTTTTTCTGTTTTCTCTCTCTCTCTCTCTCTCTCTCTCTCTCTCTCTCTCTCTCTCTCTCTCTCTCTCTCTCTTTCTTTCTTTCTTTCTCTCTCCCTCCCTCTCTCTCATTCTTTCTTTCCTTCTCCGGCTGTTTCTCCAAGTCTTTCTATCTTTCCCTGAAAGAGAGAGAGAGAGAGAGAGAGAGAGAGAGAGAAAGAGAGAGAGAGAAAGAAAGAGAGAGAGGGAGAGAGAGAGAGAGAGAGAGAAAGAGAGAGAGAGAAATACAGTAAAATGGGTAGGATAGACACATGCATAGTTGGGAAGAGTTTAAGTGTAGCCTCTGCTAAGAAGATCCCACACTGTTTGACATACAGGTAGGTGCAAGTACCACCCTTTGTCCACTATCTGAAGCTAGACTTACGGAGAAGGAGTACCCCTGGGTGGGGAGAATTCCGACAGGTCCCAAACTGGCGATTCTGCTGATGTTAGCGTTGCTTGGGGCACACTGGCGATACCTTGTCGTGTCGGTCAGGACGTTAACGCTGGATACAGACAAAGGGAAACAGAGAAAAAACAACAATTAAAAACGAGCTGAGTGTGAAATACATAACAACATTTTAGGTTGTTTTGGTCGTATTCATTTTTGAAATGTTGGTTTTAAGCATTAACCTTAGGGTGTTGAAAAAAACTTAAACATAAACAATGACCAATTCAAAACACTTACCAGAAACCTTCTACCCTTAAAAACTGTTCTTTGTTGTTGTTATAGCCTCCGATTAACACGATGGAAGTATTTTTCATATTCTGATAAGATACAGAAAAAGGTCATGATTGCTAAATTAATCACTGCGATTTCTGCGCCGTGAAAAAGATTCAAGGTTCTATTGCCACCAGAGGCAGGTAAAGGCAATTTTCACGAAACCAATAACAGCAACAAAGCAGGCGTTTGTCAAGTTTTGGGCGTGTGGAGTTATTGGTATCATCTCAAAGCGTATTCATTTGTTTTGCTTTCGGTGAATAGAAATCGAAATATTAGAGATTGAAGGAGGTGGGGGTAGCCTGTTTTCAGAAGTAAAATTAGCAAGAAAATGACTTCCATGTCTTCTAATATGGCCTGGAGGGCAGCCCTTCTTTTAGAGCCCTGTTTGTCTCAAGTATGTGTTAAACTCAGTTGATAAAAAAACAAAACAACAACAACCAAAGATGAACATATAGCATCAAGACACAAGACATATAAGAGCCAACTTACGAGCAGAAGGATCCAGAACTGGTATAGCTTTTCTTTGCGCCAAAGTCGACCAATCTGAAGCCAGCGGTCTTGTTGTCAGCTCCAATTGTCAGCAACTTCTTGGCAGTAAAGTCAATGGCGAACCTTCTCAAAGACTGGAAAGTGAACAGAACACCAAAACAAACTATAAGACTCTACTATATTTAGAATTTTAGAAAGAACAAGTACGTTTTACCTGTCAACAATACTTAGTTCCAATGCAATCTCCCTGCCCTCTCTCAGGGTAATTAGATTTCTTTCGGGGTTTTTTTAAATTTACCTTTACACCTCAATACGATAATTTTAATGTAGGCTCTAGGAAATTCTAAACCGGAGTATTTGGTACTTATATAAAATAACAAAGCTAGCATTCACACGTCTTTTAACATAGACTGTTATTAATATGTTAACCAACCAAGTATCCATGTTGTGTTTTTATTACATTTGTAAACTATTAACAGATTCTTCATTTTCTTTATGGAATCTCCATTAATCAACAAAAAACCACGTGAATGAGTAATGAATCCGTACCATCACTTCAGTAGCAGGTGGAATGATTTAGCAGATTTTAAATACGCCCCCCCTCACCACTAAAAATGTATTTTTAGAAAAAAAAATCACCACCCACAAAAACGCGGGCGCGAGCGTGCATATACAGGAAGCCGTTTCCTCAGCGGGTAATGATGTTCTAAGTAATAAGAAGATTTGAATTTACTTAGGGGTGTTTTCGTGGCCTATACGTTAAGGCGTTAGCCTCTCATTTAATAGGTCCCGGTTTCGAATCCGGATAGCGACGGAAATTTTTTTCTCTAAAATTGTCTCCTTTCACCTACTTTCCTTCTCTCTACCAATATTCTGTCGTTTGCTTTCGCCTCTACTTTTCTCACACCCCCTCACCTCCTTTGCCTCCTCCTCTGGGATCCTGACTCTTTCTATAGCCTTTCAACTGTTACTCCCTGGCTCCTTTTTACTGCTGTCTTTCAGCCTCACCTCTGATCTTGTGGTAGGACAGATACACGCCAAGCCTTCTTGGACAAGGGCTAAAATTCTCAGAGGTTCCGTGTGCAATTTGCGCACGTTAAAGATCCCTTGGTGGTCCAAAGTCGATAGGAGTATGCTTCGGCCGCCATCCAGGCAAAATTCAAAATTTCTTGCCAACTGAAAATATTTATTGTGTCCCGCGCGTTCATTTCACCTTATGCAGTTGCGAAGGCCGTAAAACCACTTACCCCCCCCCCCCCACCCCCCACCCCCATGCCCAAAAAAGAAAGAAGTTGCTTACGTTGGTGGGCAAGTCATAGATCACCCCGTAGTACTGATCTGGAGAGCAGGAACAGTTGGCCGCGGGTACTGAGGCCGCCAGCGTACAGGGGAGAGCGATGAGTAGAACAGCCAAGACGTTCATGGTGACGGAACTGTGAGGGGGGAGAGAAAGTTTTAAAATCAAACAATCACGCTACGAGCATTACACTAGCAAACCTAAAACTTCAATGATTACCCAAATTGCACATGCGAACCTATCCGATATTGGGACAAATTAAATATCGGATTTTGCCCGAATACGCTGGCACTGTTCGAATACAACAAACACGAAAGAGGCCAAACATCCTTAAGGCAGCCTCATACCAGTACGACATAGTCCCTTAGAGGTGGAATGCATTACGATTGAAGAAGTGGAGAGACATCATCAGCCATTAATTTGTGTATTACGAGCACCAGTCAAATTTGATTACAAATCGTTAGGTTCGCTCATGCGACGCTTTAATTTTTGTTTTTGTTCAAACACTATAGGTTTGCAAGTGTAATGTTTAAATTTGCTTAAAATTGAATAGGTTCGCAATTGTAACGTTTTGAAAAATAAGGTTCGCAAGTGTTATGCTCCCGGTACGAGGCTATTAAAATCAGAAGGGGTCTAAAAGACTATGAAGAAACGGGGTAATATTAGAGATTAAGAAATAGGCCTTCAAAGCCAGTCAAATACAAATAAATAAAAATAAGGATTGAAAATAAGAAAAATGATATCCAAAAGCAGGTTACCAAAACGAGAGTAATGCTGATGGGATTAAAGAGTGAGTGGATATTGCGCCAAGATGGAAAAGATATGTCCGTGTGTGTGTATTTGTGTGTGTGTGTGTGTGTGTGTGTGTATTTGTGTGTGTGTGTGTGTGTGTGTGTGTGTGTTGTGTCTGTGTCTGTGTCTGTGTCTGTGTGGATGTGTGAGTGTCTGTGTGTGTAGAGGGGGGGGGCGGTCTGGGGGAGGGAGGGGCTGTTGTTATGAGCTGAGAACGATTAAAGTTTCTTGCCCCTACCAGAACATTAGTGGCTCTGGGTACGAAAATCGACGAAATATTTGATATTTTAAGGACCCAAAGGCTTTTTTAAAGATACATACACGAATACACAAGAAAAGCTTGCGAACTGTCATTTACAGATTTTCAAATTTGCTTTTGCAGCAACGTCTTTGTTTCCTCGTCCCCTTTCCCATAACAAAGAAAAGAAAATATTTAGTTGACAGTAATTAACCAAGCAAAAAAGGATCGTTGATCAGTTCTATAGTTTTCCAACAGCTACACCTGTCCATTGTTCGGTGGTTCGCGTAGAAACAAATTTCAAAAGTTGTGTTGATTTACGTGTTCTAAATCTTGACTACTTCATTAACTGAGCCGTTGATGTACCATTAGTTTAGTTGGCATCATCTAGGTTTTAGCGTGGATGGCTTTGGTTCAAATCCACAATGACATACTCCTACAATTGAGTCATTAGTGGAGTTTTCAATGATTTCCGTTTACCAGGCTTGGTTGGTTTGTTTGTTTTTTTAATATAAATTTAGTAAACGGACGAAGAAAGTCAGATATCTCGCCTTTGAAATAACTATGCAATACCGAAATGAGCCTTAAAATCATACAATTACAATGTTGGATCCTGAAGAGGGGGGGGGGGGTGCAGAGATGGACATGTTCCGACTGCAGTGACCCCAATACAGTAGACAAGTAAGACAAGTCAAGTAAGACAATTACAATGTACTGCTGGTGGCAGAGTGGTTAGTGCGCTCGTCTACCAAGGGGAAAGTCCGGTTCGAGCCTCGGTTCGGACAAGGACTTTTTTCGCTCCCTCCTGCCCATCCAGCAGTAATGGGTACCTGACTTTGAGTTGGGAAGGTAAAGGTGAGTTGGAAAGGAACTGGCCATCCTACCACAATATGCCGAAGGCCTAGGAAGTTGTCTCACTAACACAGCAATCCAAATGTCCGGATCGGATGCGAGAACAACTTTACTTTACTATTACAATGTCTCATGTAACAGGAAACACAGTGTCCACCTCTTATACATACAAATAGGAAAGAAGAGTTCTACAATGTACTTCAACTCTTCCTTCCTCACTAAGTGGTAACGCAATACTAAGACGTATCATTGCACAGTTGATACATGTAACAAACTTTGGTCTGGCACCACGCTGAAGTTCGGGGTTCAAATCTTGCAAAGTTAAACCTACTCCTGGCTTCCCAGAAAAAGGTTTCCATCAGACAACTCTCCTAACGGTCAAAGATAGTTTACTCTCTCTCTCTCTCTCTCTCTCTCTATATATATATATATATATATATATATATATATATATATATATATATATATATATATATATATATATATATATCTTTTTTTGTCTAAAGATCGTTGTCTTTTACAAAACTCGCGAAAGACTATATGAAAAAACACATTATTTAACTCCTTATCTATCCACAATTTGTAGGAAACATTAAAAGAAAGTGAATTAGAAATGGCCCAAGTCAGAAGAAAGAGGTGTCCAAATTGTATTAGACAGTTACAAACAAATCTGCTGCAGTCTGTGGTGGAGAGTGGGTAGGATATTCTGTTGATTCCAAGCTTGGTGACTTTTTTCTTGCAGATTGTCCAGATTTTATAGGTAAATGACGACCCACAAAGTTTATACTTTGGTCCTTTAAAAGGCTCAACCCGCAAAGCAAGTGGGTCAAACATCATACATTTTGTTGCAGTTTGTTTAATTTTTTTTACATTTTACAAAAAGTCAATCTATCATTATTATTATAGCTCACAGATATGACACTTTTTTCCGTGTACTTTTTAATTTGAATGAGAGTATTAGCCATGCGCAGGAAGGTCAGAGGTAACGATCTAGGTTACCAATATGGACGTGGCATTGTTCTCATAAGCAAAGTCGAGCCTGCGCGCTCATATGACCTTAGCAGTTGCGAGCGCCGTAAAACCCCATACTACCATACCATACCATAAAGTCGAGCCTGGCATCTACGCAGCTTGTCATCTGTATTTCAAAGAGAAGATTACCCTGGTTCGAATCCAAGGCTGGGGTATTTTGTAGAGTTTTCAAAGCTCTCAGCACATCTGGCTGGGCCCTATCGGAGACGGATAGTAAATTCAGAGGTCCTGCCTCATAAATTACTTTATAACGTTGACTTGGATACCAAACGCCTACAGTAAAATAATATCTCAAAGTAGAAACCCCAAGAACTTATTTAGACTTTTTGTGTGCGTGAGTAAACTATCCTTATGCATTTAATTGTACGGGTACGTGGGGATGCGAGCATGTTGTTTGTAAATAATGCATTTTATATTCTGTCTGTCTGTCTGTCTGTCTGTCTGTCTGTCTGTCTGTCTGTCTGTCTGTCTGTCTCTCTCTCTCACTCTCTCTCTCTCTCTTTCTCTC